TTTAAGAAATGAACAATTATCCCCGTAGTTATTGTATGATCTGAAATTTGGTTGACTTTTGTAATTACATTTCAAGAAAACATAATACATTCTACAGAAAAAAATATCTAATACATTGTCAACAAACTAAGTCATTATAAAATAATCAAAATGCTTACTGTAATTTACATGGCATATATTATAACCAAAGAAAACATGACGTAATAGCGACGTCAAACGACTTAAAAACAACACCACAACAGGCTGTTGCACAACACTATCACCTGTTTCAGTCTGCATTGAAATAATTGGTCAAAAGCAGCGTTGAGTGTACGCGATGTCCCGTGCGTTGTCTTGTTGTATAAGAACACGCTATATGTGGAACTGTCACTCCTTTCCTTCATTGCCTACACATGTATTGCCTCTTAACCTATTTAACAAAATAGCGGTTCATGAGATATCACCAAAGCATGTTACTGAACTGAAATATAATATAATACAAATATACCTTTGAATTATATGCAGGACCCGGTGCTTTATAAGCATTCCCTCTCTGTCTATAAGAAACACATGCATTGTTTTCCGAGTTATGATCGAGGAAGTTCTAAGAACCCGTCCCTATCTCGTTCGTCTTTTTCTCGACATTCGTTGTTATCCGCTGTTATTACCGAGGTATCCGATCGCATACATTTTAACATTCCATAGTTACTTATATTTGTTTTTAATACCAATATTTTACTTATACATAAATAACATTCTGTGTACAAATATAGAAATCCCACGAGGACAATGAAAACAAAAGGAAATACTGTAGTTGAAGATCTCACATTTAGTGTTTGTGAGTCTGTCCATGGCAGGTATTTGGAAAGTTCAAAATATTGTTTTCCTTGTCCTTCTGCATTGGCTTAACCTTTATTTACCGGTACAAGAGTACTGGAGAAGTTAAGACCGGTATAAAATACTGGACACACAAGCAACAACTGTTGCCTGCTATTGGCCTCTATAAAATATAAATTATTGAATGAACAGGTCCATCCAATAAAATTAGTATTGTCATGGTTAAGGCCACTGACACGAAAAACGTTTTATTAGATTAGACAATAATATACACTTATCGTATGTTATCCGTGCAGGATCTTGTGTCAAAATATAATCTAGACAGAGAACAACGTTTTGGTTATTTCTCTAGATATTAAAGTAACATATCCGAACCATAGACAAATATTTCATAGGATATTTCCGTTAAGACTATCCGTAAAATGCCGACTTCAACTTTTCTTATTTGTATTTTGTTTGTTTCAATTTCTTGTTTTCAGATTATAATAAAATCTAATACAATTATAACAGAATGAATTTTTGTTACGTTTCTAAAACTAACCTACACATTGACTTTTGGCAGTTGCTCTGGTTGCACAGTTAAACATTTGCCAAAACGCACAGACATAAAATAATCTATTATTTAAAGAATTGTACTAAACTGGACAGCAAAAATACATTATTTTTATATTTAACAACATAGGAAGTATTGGTAATAAAATTAAGTGTTATCACCTATTTGCTGACGGCACTAGACATGTAAATTAAATTTTGCTTGACTTAACAATTTTTTATTGCAAGATCCAGTAAAGAATATATCATGACGTAATAATACAATTGTTGTATGACAGAATATATTAGCAAATTGTTAACTCCTATTAGTAATATTGGTAACATATAATAGCTTTTTTGTCTGTACTTTTATTCGCCCATCAATAAATGTTATTCACGTTTTAAGTTAAAATAGCAATCAAGATAATCGATTTGTCAAAAACGTAAAATAACGAACGAACTGTATATCAAAATAACATGTTTGAAATACCATAAGATGAATTACGTGTGAAGAAACTTTGATATTAATGTGTAATTTGTGTTTCAGATTTGCGAGTTTATTTATGAAATAGTAAAATAATCGGATATTTGGCAAACAAACTAAATTTGCGTATTCAAGAACAAGATTTTCATTGTAGTTTCCTTATTAAGATTTTAGACAGAAAACACATTTCGCAGTGCTTACTTTTCTGATAGCAATTTCGTTATCTTCTAGTAACAAAGCGTACAAGATGCATGACATTTCCTTCCGTCTATATTCTATATTTAGACCCAGCAAGTGTATATTACTGATAAAATATATAATGATCTCTTTATAACCAACTGATTTCTGACAAGTTTTATTTATAATATGTTATAATATGTTATTAAGTAATTTGAAACTGAGATATTCATCTATGTATCTATGTATCTATATAGGTATGGTTCAATGGCGATATATTATGCACAAATATGATATTTGAAAATACAGATAATTGCCATGTAGTCTCTTTTCGAATGTAAAGTTAAAATCTTCTGATAACACACAGAGAAAATATTACTTTTTAATCCCTACACACTGCTGGTAAGCACAGCATAAATAATAGTGTCTTAAAAATGTCAGTCTTTTTAAGAAAGGATAACATACTTGTCCAATAATAGGGAATGCAGCTTCCAAAATTTCTTATTCAAATTAGATGTATTCAGTAAGATTTCCTTATTGTCAATATAGTTTTGCAATAACAGTATTTTACCAAAATATCAGGATAGTTTGTCTTATATATTGCAGTAAACTGTTAATATGATACCATCACCTATGTAGCATTTTATCAGATTTGTATTCATTTATGTGATGTTTGTTAGATAAACAAAACCGAAACAAAACCAACTTCAAAAGAGGACCGAAATCTTATTTCCATGTTATATGTAAAGTTAAAATGCTATCTTTCGGCTCAAATAAGATGAAATAAAGTGAATATAACCAATAATTTTTCATGGTCGTTCATAAGAGAAGATTTGCGGTTTTTAGACTTAAAGTTGCAGGATATGTCGCTAATAAATGTATTTATTTACTTGATATTTGTTTTGTGGCATTTGTCTGTATGGCAATCGTTTATACATGCATGCTTATTCGTTCAAACGTGTGGTTGTGTTGCTGATAGCAACTAACTAGAAAGTATTTGTCTTTGTCAAATGTCATACTGAATTATATAAACCTTTAAAAGAGTGCAGACTCCAAAATGTAAACACGAATACCCTAGACTAATAAAACCTTATAAATCATTATTAAATAAACCTTACCGTGACTTTTCCGGTGTAAATCAATAGAATGTAGAATTATCTCCAAGATGCAATCAGAATAAACATTTATACATCTCATTTTAATATGAAAATCAACATTTAATTGAAACCGAAAGTAAATTTTGCGTTTTGTCCAAGTAATACGAGAAGAGTTCCCGGCTCTGCGTTTAGCGCTTGTCAAGCCTGTACCCAAACGGTGTACATGCTTTCGACTACTCGAGCATTCTATCGTCTAGCTGTCTGCAAGCGCTTGTTTAAAAGACACTTATTTGTAAAAAAACCTATTACCAAGATGCACAATGTGTTGTTTCCCAAGTTTTTTATTCTCTATCATGTACAATATAAATATTTTAATTTGGCGGTCATATTGGGTTTCCCGAAAGAGACGATTTTCATACAAGTTATGTCGTAAGAGAATTATAGTGTTTGGTCCCGGCCCAAAAAGCGAAACAAGAGCGCAAATATATGCTAGGCTCAGGTCGCGTTTTGGTTTGACTCTTTGTTTACATTTTGGAGACTGCAATCTTTATTGAGACTTGATGGTATACGGTATTTTTTTCATATATGTATTTCATATCGTGTTTAAATAAATTTTTTGATAGAGTGTTTACAAGGGCATATCACGTTGATGGCAGGATCTGACCACCAAGCGTCTGTGGTAAAGTATAATGTCTCAGCAATCTTATGCGCTCACTCACTTTCTTCCAATTTGGTGTACAATCAAAATATAGGTCCATTTACCTATCGCGGTGCTCGTTTTAGCCACTAAATTGCATATTCTACGTTAATTTTGCACAATTCCTGCGTTATTTTGCGAGCACAATACGTCATTTTTCAAATATATATAATTGATTATCATTTTTTTTAAATATTTGTAAGCTGCTTATCATTTTTTTCTTTTGTTTAATTAAATAAACACCTGTTTAGAATTGTTATATAATTATATTTAATAGGTTAAGTTATTGTGTTTCTTTATTAGATAGGAATCGGACGCTGTTATTGATGCTGACTTAGAACTTCTTGCCCTTTACCGTGTTTGTCCGAATTCCGCCAGACTTTTAATCATTTCATCCATTTAGCTGTCTGAAAGGTCCGTGGTTCTACTAAGGTGCTCGTGTGTGCCTATAATAAGGCACAGAGGGGTATCTGAGGTCTGCATTCGCCATCAATGCTGAAAAATTCACATATGTCCTTGTCGGTGTGAGTTACAACTCAACCAAAAGGAGCATATGGAAAGCATACAAATGTGAACAAACGAGGCAAGATTTTCGCCCTTTTTGTATCATTGTAAGGGATATACAAGATAGCGATGAGATTTGTTGCGTTGATTGAAAATCATTATACTACAACTATAAATAATAAAGGATTTTGATTTCCAAACAATTGTTTACATACTTAGGTAAAAAAATAGTAAAATAAAAGTAAATCATAACTTGACAATATCATTTTTTTTCAGGTGTATAAATAACAATGACGCTATATATAGTATATAATCATTTCAAAATATTGAAAAAGTGCGACAAGCTATTAATTGCTATTCTTTGTTTCGAAAGAGTAAAACAAGATAATAAAGTTATAAATTCTTAAATTGATAGATAATGTAAGGCACTTTTAATCATAGCCACGTTTTATACTATAAATATTTCAATAATAAATATCACAAAATTGATCATCTAGTTCTATAAAAAAAAGCTTAAAACAGGCATTCTAATGATAACCTATGTTGTTGATTCACACGCTTTAAAGAAATGGTTTCAGTTTATCAAATGGCCTCTACTTACCAAACGGTTGTAAAACGTATTTTTCCAATATCGGTCTTTTTTCTTCTCTAAAGCAGACGGCCCATAAGAGTTTCAGATATCAACAAGTATGGCAATAGTTATAATCAACAAAGTTCGCAGTTAAACAAAATACTTAAAGATTGCTTCTTTAACGGACAAAAATGATTTTTGCATATCGTAGAAACCATGTTAGTTCAAAGTATTAGATAAACGTATAACAATAAGTTATTCTTTTAATTTAACAGTCGATCTTTATTTTCTGGATATATTTAAAGGAATTCATATTGCTTTAAGTACAAAAATAATGGAGAAAAATAAGTGTTTTTAACATAGAATCTTTTCAGGATTTATTAATGTCAGTCTCGCAAAGTTATTTCTTACTAACATAGAGAAACTTTCTCAAAAACTGTCGTAACTATAAGACTTTGATTACTTGTGTATTAGTGCTAATAGATAGTAATATCACAAATTTAGAGAAAAGCCAAACATAATTGCGGTCTACTGTTACCTATTAGCCGTTTATATTATTATTTGTGTGCGCTGAATACACTCGTTCTTTGTTATACGGTTTTAGAGTTGGGAAGTTAATATCAAAATGGTTTTGGATTAATAAAGTGATTGTATCATTAGTTTTCGCATAAAGGTAAGTTGAGTCACGTGTTTCATTATTTTCCGTAAATATCAATTATGAAAACATCTTGATTAACTATCATCAGTATTGTATTACTTATTTTGTTAGAATACGTCTATGATTAAATCGTGTTTTGTAACAAAATTACCTTCCAGAACCTATCAAGAGGCATTTCAAAATTAATTTAGTCGGATTTTAAAAGACATCTTTACAAACAACGTTTATATTCCTGCAGCATGGCCTTTTTATCAGTAAATGTTTTATTTATTGTGCTTCAATGGTAACTTAAAACATTTTCATAGCATTAATGAGATCTTGAATTCCAGTTTAAGATACCTAAATGAATTCGTGAGAAACGCAATTGCTAAATTCATTATGTATTTTATTTTATTGACAAACAGACCCAAACGTTTTAAATATGATGGATTGAAGAAAATCCATTGCTTGCAAATTGAGGGTAATCGTATGAAAATGTTATTCACATAATATGAATAGAAGACTAAATTCATGTCAACTATCTTTTTCATGCAAATGTGTAATTGATCGCCGCAATTTTCACCTCATTTGTACAAAATTATTCTCGGAAATTGATATGCGTAAATAGATAGATGGTCATCACATAAAATCGTTATAAAAAACTGTTTAAACACAATGATTTTCTTCAATCACATACAATTTTACGTTCTAATAAAAACAATGCTGACTTTGTTTGCACCGCTTTCTTTTGGTTTTTTTAACATATTTATTTTTGTTGCTATTGATTTTAGAGGGTTTGGCCTTTTATGCCCTTCTGTGTTTGGTGATATTTGTTGTTTCTTTTTTGTTTGCTATATTTACCTTAACAATCAAAGATAACACACCAATCTGTGTAATTAAACCTTCTGTGCATTCGACTTTCTTAACTTTCGTTTTTGGTAGAACACAATGGTTTACATATATTTAGAAGTCATTATTTCATGAGTTTATGTTTAGTTAATAGCAGACATTTTTGTTTTATTATTCTCTATAACTCGTATTACTTCCTTGTTGATATTTCCTTGTTATTTGTTTTCTTTTATATGAAATGTTGGTAAGTTAGGTTATAAAGGTTCTCCAGACCTGTTAAAGAACAATGATTAACAAAGATCAAAATTGTCTTGACTTAAAGAAGCTAATAATTATGTTATTACAGCACTTTCGTCTAGTTGTAGAATGGTATCAGTCAATACATACAAGACATAAAGCTGTGCACTTTCACACGAGCCAAAATGTACTAAACTTTTAAGGACAGTAAAAATATTTACAGTCCAAGAAATGATTTACATGTTATACGCAATTAATGGCTGATATTGCAGTATTGGTCACACTATTTATACTGCGTGACTAATGCAGTGAAAAGCATGAATCTGGACAAATATTACAAATATGCACCTAAGTGACCATGATTGTAGATTGTTGGTCAGACCCAACAAGAGAAATAAAAACAGAAACAAATCGTATTGTTTAAAATTACAGGCTTGGTTTTATAGACTGCATTGTTTTGAGCGGTTATGGAAATATTAACTTCAAGATTTATTTCAGTTTGTTATAAGATACTTAATCTTTATTTCAATACAAAGGTGATATGCAATTTGGGAAATCTTCTTCGATATATTTCTAGGCACAATATTATTGCCGTATATTTTAATCAAAAATACTTTTAATACTTTGACATTAATTATCACGAGATGAAAAATTGCAAAGAGGAGGCTGTATTACCAAAGTCACCTGGAATTAACTATCTTGCATAAATCAAATGAGTAAAAACCTACTTTAATTTTATGTTCAAAAGAGTTAGTTTTGGAGATTAAGAAAGTAAATGTTACAAAAACTGTAATGTTTATTCACTTTTTTCAAGTCTTAAGTGAATAACGTTTCTTGGAAATATCTTAATTTTATTTTGTTATAATTTTATAATTTATATCCGATTGCAGATTTGATTGCGTAACATGTACATGTATGTATGAGGTATTATAAATGATTTTTAGATAACTGTTTTCTTTAAAATCCTTAACGTAATTTCCCACGTTTGTTGTACAAACAAAACTTTACTTTTTTACGTTTTATCATAACATTTAAATTAATGAAAACAGTTATGCAGGGCTGTCTGTAGGGTCTGAAACCCTTCAGTCAATGAATCTTGGGCAGAACTTTTCAGAACTCTAATGTATATTATTTCTTATTAGATATTGAGTGCAATATAAGTTGTAAACAGAATTTATTTAGCAACAGTATATAAACAACGTATTGTTAACATACTAAAGTAACCAATGGTGATACCGAAATTCAATGTACGTCATCTACTGACATTGCCAGAAAAGTTTACTTAACCTTATGTTTAATACAATATTTTCTCGAAAATTAAACGAAATTAGAAATTAAACTAGGAAACTAAACTGAAAGGCGTGATTGCATTTCAGTAAATGTCTATATATTATTTAACTAATTTTAGAGTGGCAATGATACTCCCAATTTTCAGTTTATAATTTTAATAAGACCAATGTTAATACTGCTTATAGTCTGTTCTTTCCGAAGTAAACTCGTTCTCAAATAAAAGAATTTCAACAAAGTAAAGACTAAAACATAGTACAGAAAAAATTACTACGTTTAAAATGAATATCTAATAGTAATACATGATTCAATGCGCTTTTGTTACTTAATTAATCCAAAGAATAGAAAAAATACTGATTATATTGTTCCATATTTAGAATATTAACATGTGTCATTAGTTAAATCAGAGTTGTGAATGATAAGCTTATCATGCTAGTTAATAACAGATTGAAATATAACAGAACGTGACATATCCACCGGTACCACGTGCTATATTTCGACAGTCTGCGTGCTTAATTTAGAATCAAGCTTGTTACATGTGCATTATGCAACTGTCTTGTGAATGAAAGATGCTTAACATTTAGAAAGATACATGTATATGAAACAGTCAGGTGCATATTCATGAGTATGTGCTTTTTTCACTCAATATTTGCAAGACAGATTTTTACAGGAGCTTGTGACAGTCATGTTATAATGGTCTAAGTAAGTTTATGTATTGTGTACGTGCGTTCATTTTATAAATAAACGTGAAAGAATAAACAAACAATAACATAATAAAAAGTCATCTGTCTATATTACATAATAAGTGTATGGTGATGAAGTAAATTTCCTAATACTTTGTGCCTAATCAATTTGCTATTCACCTCGGCCAAATATAAGTGTATCTATCCAGTACTTTTAATCTAACGCTTAATATTTTTATTGACAAAACATTTTGTTGATAATCCGTTCCAGTAAAAAAGGCATAATTACATGATTATTTTATTGAAATTTAGATCAATTTACCAAAAGAACACTTTTGTTTTGAGACATTTTAGCTTTTCTAAATATTATTCGTTCAAAACTGAAAAGTTCCTGAGAAAATCATAAAATAGGTAATTTGAAAAGTCGTGCTCGCGCTAAATTCAAGAAACTTCCCTGAATCTTTTTCAGTTCCCAAAGGCATTAAAGACTGTATTGACTTTTTACAATAGTTACATTGAATCTGATCTGACGGTTTTTTAAAAAGGCAACCTTACGTTTCGTGAGAGGTACACATAGAAATAAAATATGTCCATCCCATTGATAAAAAACTGTCATTTCTTTAAAAAATGTGTTCATATTAACACAGAAAAGGACGATAAAAGATGTACAAGTTTGATGATTGTTTTAAGGAATGAATGCATATTGCAAATCTGTATCACCATGAAATGACGATTCTGCGCGATATATAAACATTACGATCAAAAAACGCGGTGTGCAAACGAACCAATATATTTTATAATATAATATGATTCATATGATATACGATCATGCATTGGAATTAACAGGGAAACCTTGTGTACGAAACTAATATGATTAAGCGTCTATCACTTGGTGTATTTGTATTGTTTTATGTAATTATTAACTAATAAGTGCCGAATGTAATAGCAGAGGGAAATATCTAGGTATACTAGTATTAGCATTTATGTATGTATGAATACATTCAATGCAAATCTGACTGGAATTTAGTGTTCTAGTTTTTTTCGAGTTATTTCGAATATATTCAGTGTTTGTTTATTGTAAACGGATAAGTTTTTTGAACTTGGAAAATAGTGAATACAGAACATGTTCTTCATTTATGTTCTTATGAAGCAAATCTGAATACAGTCCTATAAGAGATTATTTGTAAGTATTACTTTTTCACCTACAGCAATATACTACTATATTCGCATACTTGATAGCATAATAGGGACAAAATAGTTCGTTTTCTTAAGAGATTGATTTTTTTAGTTCTTTTTTTTAAATGTAAGCATATATAAGATTTGTTCATGTTTCCTGGGCATGATTTCTGGGTGTATATCTTTATCCTTTGTTAAAAATATTTTTTAAACATTATTGCATCAGTCTCGTAGATCGAAAAATAAAAACAACTGCAGGTGGTAACTGATTCTTCCCTAGCGACCAGTTCAGACCAAGATCATCATCCGTCCCGTCTGATTAATGGTATGCACTGTTCGTACTTTACCCGGTACATGCTTTTAAATGTTCCCTAAAATGATAAAATGGATTTGTCCCGATTGAAAGATGGACAAGTTTTATTTTGAAAATTTAGTGTGTTGTTATTTTTCTGGTCCTTCTGGATCATTGATGCCAGCACTATTAAGTGTTGAGAATTAAGTACCGCTCAAGCCGGTGCTAGGGGGCGTGAGTGATGTTGCACGTATTCATTATCCCTCATGTACAAACTCAATCAAACCGAGTCTGCAATTCTCTTCTAATTTTGCTGTGATTAATGCTTCCGAGGGATGACTTTGTTTCCAGATTTTTATACTTCACAACAGCAGGTGTCAAGTGCTGTGTGGCAGCTGTAAAAATTGCCCGTACTTCACTTCAGTGTTGTTATATTTTTCTGGTCCTTCGGGATCATTGATGCCAGCACTATTATGTGTTGAGAATTGAGTACCGCTCAAGCCGGTGCTAGG